TCTGCGATTTTTTTGCGTAACTTGTCAGTGAACTACGGCTATGTGTAGTAAATTCTGCTCCATCTGAAAGCATGTGATGATGATTTCCTGCTGATTACAGAACCGGCTTTTTTAACAAAATGCACATGACAATCGCATTCGATTAATCGTGCAGCCCTACAGGCCAAGTTCTAATATTAAAGGTTTTTTTTTATAATATACATTTATAAAAAACTGATTACCATAGAGAAAATAACTAAAGAATTTTTATAGAACTTAGATGTTCTACACTCTTAAAAAGATCTCCAAAGAACCTTTCAATGAACAGTTTTTAGAAGAACAATTTAATAATCTAAAGAACCATTTTCCACTTTAAAGAGCCTTTTGTGCAATGGAAAGTTTCCATGGATGTTAAAGGTTCTTCATGGAACCATCAATGCCAATAACTCAAGAACCCTAAACCACAAACATGGTTCTTGATGGAACGACAAGGATGGAACGATAACACACAAAACCCTTAACACACAGCATTGTAATATCACAGAAATTAATCAAACCCCCAAAATGTCTAATGGAAACACAGTCATTAATATTCAGGATGTTTATTCAGATTTCGTATTCCAGAGGCTGTAGTGATTGTATTACGAATTAGAGAGGGTCAGTCTGTCTCTATTAGTGGGCATGCTTGGGTCACAGACATATGAATATCAAAGTGTGAATTGTGTGTGCGCTTTTCCTGCATCTCAAAACCCTTCCCCTCTACATCTCGCTTGCTCTTTCATGCTTTGTACCGGCCACTCTCTATATGATCTCGATATGAAATGGATATACTATTGACCAGCCTACCATGCACCTATAGCTGTCACTACGCACCTGCTTGCAATATTGCATTGTGTGTGCATTGAGTAACACAGCACAGAAAGAGTCCCGCAGGCAAACGTGCTGGGGTGGACGTGTGGGCATACATTCTCGTTTCATTTAAACACACCGGCTCTCATAAAGGTGCGCCTTTAAACAAGGAGCTGTGTGACTCACTCCTGGCACCTGTGGATGTGTCTAAAAAAAGGCTGCAGATAAATCAAAACCATGCAAACCAGGCTGCAAATAATGAAGTCACATACTCAGCAATTCAGCAATTTTCAGCAATTTTAGTAATTTAGTCATTCAGCAGTTTTTATATAATTTATTTATTATATAATAAACAAACAAACAAACAAACGTGTGTTTTAATTCATATTACCATTAAATAATAAAATTAAAATTAAAAGAAGTATAAAACAAATAGTCAACTTTATGTAGAATACTCTCATTTAGATCGCCTCAAAGTTAAAATTATTTTTTCTAAAATTATTACTTTTTTTTTTTTTTTTACTGGCTCACGTGAAGGTTTGCCTTTAACCAAGCAGCCGCTTGACTCACTCCTGGCACCTGTGGATGTGTCTAAAAAAGGCCGCAGATAAATCAAAAGCCTGCAAACCAGGCTGCAAATAATGAAGTCACATACTCAGCATTGCCATATGGGGCAAATAGGCTTTGGCAGGGAGGGGTCAATTCATCATCTTTAAATTCATCCACAAGACTCAGCTTCTCATCCAACCCGTCATTAAAGCTGCTGCAAGCGCAGTGTAAAGCCAGTGTGAATTTGAAATAGACCCAGTTTAATTTTAGTACACATTCCCTGTCTAATTGCGCAATAATGCGGGGTTTTTTCCAAATAATAATCAAAATAACTTGCTCTGCCTCTAGAATAACTTTCCCTTCTGAGTGACATCACTACTCAACTCCACCCCTTTTTACAATTCAGTCACTTTCAACGGATAAAATGAAGCCTCGCCCAACACAAAATAAATAAATAAATAACTTACATTTACAGTAAAAAAGGCAGTTGTGCTTGTAAACTTTACAGTAAAAATACAGTAGCAACTTTGAGGTTTTACAGATTGAACTTACAATTATGGTTTAAAAAAGGGAATAATATTAATATATTACAATTACTAAAATTGCGAAAATACTGTTCACAAGCAGTTTTTCCACAAGCTGAGGTAAATACTAATTTGCAGAAAGTGTACAGTGTCATACATGCATGACACCAACATAATAAAATATAAAACATAACAAAAAACTAACTGAAAGGAAAAAGTAGAAATAATTATTTCAATAAAAGTCAAATAAAATATAAACTAAAAAAAAATCTTATGTGAATAGTCAGAGAATTCTGGGAAACCAATTTATGTTTTTTCCATTGTAAATAATAGGATGACGTTGTTCTTTTTCACTTCCAAAAACTAGATTCAACTATTTTATTAAATTGAAATACCCATTATGTTCATGAAATGCCCATTAGATCTATTACAGTTTTTTTGCTGTATAGAGTAAAGGAACGCACTGTTAACCAGTTACAGTAACTGTAGACTTTTACCTTTAAAAATACCATCATTACAGTTACAGCGTTTTTAAATCCTGTTTATCATGTAATTGCTTTACAGAAGCAAAATTTGTGTTTCATGTTCACTTTAAAGACCTAATGACAGTCGTTTCCATGCTTAAGTATTCTTACAAAACAGTAGGCTAAGTCGGGGGCGGAGCATATCCTCAATTTCACTTGACAGCTAATATCAGATAAAAGCAAAATGAGGCAGTTCCAGCCAATTATTTTACAACCGAACAAACGCAGTTCTAAATATATATTTTAACTGTAATAGAAAAATTTATTGCATTTCATTGTAAATGTCCCTATAGATTACATGTTAGATGCCTAAATATACAAATGTTGATATGAGTATTGATATAAAATGAAATTTTATATAATGCAAAATGAATACATAATTTGATATACAAAAGTCAAAGCACAGATTGTCAACTTTTGTAGTATACGATCATCCAAATAGCTTCAAAGCTGAAAAAAAAAACATCGACTAAAAGCCACAAAACTCTAATTTCAATTTCATGTGGTTTTAATGCTCAGAGCTTGCAGATATTCCAGCTGCCGCTGTGTGCTGTAATGAAACAGGTGTGGTTGTAGTGTAGCTCCCTAATCACATTGATTTCTCTCTATGCTGTGATAAAGAGCTTTCTGAAGCCCTTGCAGAGGGAGCTATTCTGTCTTTTATCAGTATTCCAGTGTAATCGGCGTCTGCTGTTAAAATGACAGCGAGTCAAAGCGGGGACCCCAGGCTTCGGCAGTCGCTGCGTATTTGTGAGGTTATAAATCAAACGATGGCGCTCTCCCCCGTCCCGTATCTCTCCCAGCACCCCCTCTCTGTCGTTTACATCCATCAGTACGTTTCATTTCCAAAGACAAAAAAGATCCTCTGGTGAACGCATGCCAAGAAGATTCCCTAAATCGTTCGCTCTTTTATTATTAGAAAGACTCGAATAAAAATATTGTACAAAAAGTAGACAAGGATAGGGAATCTCGTTTTTGCACAACTTCTTCAAGCCTGTTACAGCCAATAAAACAACAACACATATGCAGAGTTATTAAATGAATAGAAATAACAATAATCCTCAGAAGAAAAAGCTGGAAACATCATCTAAAGTCTATATAGAATACCTGTTTTTGTTTGTACGGTCCTCGTATGGGTTTTATAAATGCCCTGAATCTGGTTTGGGATGCATTTTAAAACCAATATCTTCTGAAACTCTGATAGTGCCAGGGAAGATCTCATAAAGCCGCGTTATCTTCAGCTGAAGGATGCAACACATCTCACCAAACCCCTGCGCACACAGATCAGCATGCAGGTGGCTTTCCAAATGAATCACTTCTCATCGATGGAGAGGATATTGATCAAATAAAAATAAAAAAAATCTCACGGGCTTGGTTTCTTTAGCAGTTTTACACATAAATGATTGAATTCGGAGACTGCATTCCTACCTCTGTTGTGGGCTGTTCCGTTGACCACGTATTGCTGCGGAAAGGCAGTTTATTATCCCTTGCCAGCGCTGAGGACTCAGACCGACGGAGATACGGACTGACCTGGCGCGAGAGAGATAAGAGAGAGGGAGAAAGAAAGAGAGAGAGAGAGAGAGAGAGAGAGCGAGTGGGGAAACAACTGGATCAGTGTAGCCCGATTCCTCAACGAATGACTCCTCTGAACTGATTCCTTTTTAGTAAGTCAAACGCAACTACAGTAATGACTTTACGGTTCTTTTTTGTGTGTGAAACAAAAACATACAACGCGTTCAATGTAGTCCGATTACCAAACTAATAAATCGACTCTTTTTGTGAATCAAATATAGGTACCGTACCAGTGCAAGTCCAGTTCCCAAGCTCTCGTGAGTTGGTTCTTTTGATGAATCACTTAAAACATAGGCTACAGCGGTTTAATTCGCGGAATAAATAACGGCTGTAACCAAAATCGCATACTCTCTCTCGGGCTTTATCACAATTTTTAACCCTCATTCTAAACTCCGGGTAAACGGAATACATCATCCTGTTCTTTCATCACTGCTCATAATTTTCCCGGGGTTAGCAATTAAACCTGTGTATTTATAAGATGACTTTTCGGGTTGGACTTTTCACACTGTAAATGAACCCCAAGTTAACGTTCTTTGCCACTGATTGGATGAACAAAGCACGTGATCCCTTTAAATAAAGGCTCTAGCGTTGTTCATTCTAGTAGGCTACGAAGTTTTTCCCGAATCGACTTTTTTCGGACTAAAAAGGTAAGAACAAACCAGAACCTTCTTCACTCCAATTTATGCACGTTTTACATCACCATTTGACACTTTTCCCCTCAAAAGCTGAAACGACTGTTTATACATGCATGGTTTTTCCGGACTGAATTTGAGGTTTATGAGCATCTAGTCAAAACATTTCCACACTGGATCTTTTCACAATGAAGACTTTTGTTAAAAACGACGATAACCCTGCTCCGGAGCTGAGATTCATAACCCCGGGTAAATAGCAGTTCAACTCTGGTTCTAAATTACAAGCATAGACTGTAAGAAAAAAGATGGAGGATGCATCTCCACTTTCTTCCACTAGAAAAGTGAAGCCAACGTATATAGTGTATGGTCGCTGTCATCTTGCACAGATGACGTCATTTGTTAATAAAAATATGTTCTACTGTATATAGTAGGCTATTAGCGCGCGTAGTATGAATATAATCCAGATATATAGCCTATTACATTTGTCATGTGATGTGACCTATACTGTAGCTATATCACTGCAGTTCATCCTCTCCTGTGGCCTCTGGATAGTAGCGTCCACTGGATGCTAAGAATCTCTAGAAATCTGGTGACTTTTAACCTGCTGTTTTCTCTCTTCACATACTGTTTTTGCCTAGTAGATATTGTAGGGAAGTATCCTATTTCGGATGGAGCAAAGGACTCTTCAGAGCCTGTTCTTTTTAGTGAATCGAATCCATACGAGTACTCCGATTAACAAATGAGCCGGATTCCTTTTAGTAAACACTTTAATTGGTTAACTGAATTAATCTGACTAAGGTGTTGTGTTGTAAGGCTCCTGAGACTTAAATTAGTGTAACTATAGTGACTTACTGTTCACATGACAACCTGTAAGTCTAGCTAAATATGACATTTGTTGTAATAAGTAGGCCTAGAAAATTTACTTCTATGAAAAAAAAAGTGAATAAAATTTTCATTTTTCTAAGTATTTTATTTAATAGGCTATATAGTTAGGTCAAATTATTGAATTTTATTTATTCTACCTCAAAAGTCTATTTAACCTTTTGCAAAAATTGATATTTATTATAAACCATTACATTTGCATTTCTGATTTATTGATCTCACATGTGGCAACCGATTTCTAATAATTTAGCCTTTCTTAATATTTATTCTTCAAAAGTACTAAACAAATCATTAATGGAATCTTTAAGGAATCGTAATCCAAAAATCATGAAATTCCCTATTACGATCCAAATCTCTAGTACGGTAATTCACATACAACTATTTGACGCTGTGGGAGTGAGAACAGGTTAATAATATACATACCGAATAAAAGCACAGATGGTGCACAGGATCAAGAGTCCATCTCAGATAATGATAAAAATATATTTACAACACATGTTATTATTGGATTTACTGCAACGGCTTATTTCTTGACCGTAACAAGTGGAGATGCACGAGACGCGCATGTCTCTTAATGCGCATAAATTTATTTTTCATATAGCTTCAGGTTTTTGCCCGTTGTCCTTTCCAGCGGCCACCAAGCACATCTGTTTTCTCACTCGGAGCACGTAGCGCGCCTCTGTCAGCGCGTGTCTCTCCCGGCGCGAGCAAGCGCGCGCCCACACTAGCAGGCAGGAGCCTTTGACGTCATAGAGAGGCTCTCCGCCAGAGCGCGGGCAGCTGTGTGTCAAATCAATCTTTCAAGTGAATGACTGTGCAGCTCACCCTCTGGCATCCTGAAACATCCTCAAGAGAGATTTCAGCCACTGAATTTAGGTGAATGGAGGGTGAGAGAGGCTCATTCACAAAAAAAGTATTGTCTAGTGTTTGCCTACACTGGACCTGTGTGAGATTTTGACCAGTTGCCCTGAAAAGTGAACTATACAGGATAACCGACCATCTTAAGTGGGAATACAAATAATGGGGAGTGCATATTCAGTGTGAAAGGCACAGTAAACATCATAGGAAGCTTATTATACATCTTGCTGCCTCACAGCAGCAAGTCAATCACTAAGCAGGTGGTGTTTTGGACATTAAGGAAACTATAGGAACCTTCTATAGGACTTCCAAGACACCATACATCATCTAAAGTCTATATAGAATACCTGTTTTTGTTTGTACGGTCCTCGTATGGGTTTTATAAATGCCCTGAATCTGGTTTGGGATGCATTTTAAAACCAATATCTTCTGAAACTCTGATAGTGCCAGGGAAGATCTCATAAAGCCGCGTTATCTTCAGCTGAAGGATGCAACACATCTCACCAAACCCCTGCGCACACAGATCAGCATGCAGGTGGCTTTCCAAATGAATCACTTCTCATCGATGGAGAGGATATTGATCAAATAAAAATAAAAAAAATCTCACGGGCTTGGTTTCTTTAGCAGTTTTACACATAAATGATTGAATTCGGAGACTGCATTCCTACCTCTGTTGTGGGCTGTTCCGTTGACCACGTATTGCTGCGGAAAGGCAGTTTATTATCCCTTGCCAGCGCTGAGGACTCAGACCGACGGAGATACGGACTGACCTGGCGCGAGAGAGATAAGAGAAAGGGAGAAAGAAAGAGAGAGGGAGAGAGAGAGAGAGAGCGAGTGGGGAAACAACTGGATCAGTGTAGCCCGATTCCTCAACGAATGACTCCTCTGAACTGATTCCTTTTTAGTAAGTCAAACGCAACTACAGTAATGACTTTACGGTTCTTTTTTGTGTGTGAAACAAAAACATACAACGCGTTCAATGTAGTCCGATTACCAAACTAATAAATCGACTCTTTTTGTGAATCAAATATAGGTACCGTACCAGTGCAAGTCCAGTTCCCAAGCTCTCGTGAGTTGGTTCTTTTGATGAATCACTTAAAACATAGGCTACAGCGGTTTAATTCGCGGAATAAATAACGGCTGTAACCAAAATCGCATACTCTCTCTCGGGCTTTATCACAATTTTTAACCCTCATTCTAAACTCCGGGTAAACGGAATACATCATCCTGTTCTTTCATCACTGCTCATAATTTTCCCGGGGTTAGCAATTAAACCTGTGTATTTATAAGATGACTTTTCGGGTTGGACTTTTCACACTGTAAATGAACCCCAAGTTAACGTTCTTTGCCACTGATTGGATGAACAAAGCACGTGATCCCTTTAAATAAAGGCTCTAGCGTTGTTCATTCTAGTAGGCTACGAAGTTTTTCCCGAATCGACTTTTTTCGGACTAAAAAGGTAAGAACAAACCAGAACCTTCTTCACTCCAATTTATGCACGTTTTACATCACCATTTGACACTTTTCCCCTCAAAAGCTGAAACGACTGTTTATACATGCATGGTTTTTCCGGACTGAATTTGAGGTTTATGAGCATCTAGTCAAAACATTTCCACACTGGATCTTTTCACAATGAAGACTTTTGTTAAAAACGACGATAACCCTGCTCCGGAGCTGAGATTCATAACCCCGGGTAAATAGCAGTTCAACTCTGGTTCTAAATTACAAGCATAGACTGTAAGAAAAAAGATGGAGGATGCATCTCCACTTTCTTCCACTAGAAAAGTGAAGCCAACGTATATAGTGTATGGTCGCTGTCATCTTGCACAGATGACGTCATTTGTTAATAAAAATATGTTCTACTGTATATAGTAGGCTATTAGCGCGCGTAGTATGAATATAATCCAGATATATAGCCTATTACATTTGTCATGTGATGTGACCTATACTGTAGCTATATCACTGCAGTTCATCCTCTCCTGTGGCCTCTGGATAGTAGCGTCCACTGGATGCTAAGAATCTCTAGAAATCTGGTGACTTTTAACCTGCTGTTTTCTCTCTTCACATACTGTTTTTGCCTAGTAGATATTGTAGGGAAGTATCCTATTTCGGATGGAGCAAAGGACTCTTCAGAGCCTGTTCTTTTTAGTGAATCGAATCCATACGAGTACTCCGATTAACAAATGAGCCGGATTCCTTTTAGTAAACACTTTAATTGGTTAACTGAATTAATCTGACTAAGGTGTTGTGTTGTAAGGCTCCTGAGACTTAAATTAGTGTAACTATAGTGACTTACTGTTCACATGACAACCTGTAAGTCTAGCTAAATATGACATTTGTTGTAATAAGTAGGCCTAGAAAATTTACTTCTATGAAAAAAAAAGTGAATAAAATTTTCATTTTTCTAAGTATTTTATTTAATAGGCTATATAGTTAGGTCAAATTATTGAATTTTATTTATTCTACCTCAAAAGTCTATTTAACCTTTTGCAAAAATTGATATTTATTATAAACCATTACATTTGCATTTCTGATTTATTGATCTCACATGTGGCAACCGATTTCTAATAATTTAGCCT